AAATGGTCATCAAGGAGGCCCTGGTGGTCCAAATAATGGTGGCCCCGGAGGCTCAAATAATAACAACACTAATAGCACTGGCCCCCAAGGTCAAATGAATAAACCTTATTACTCAAATAACGGTGGTGGAGGTGCAAGTCGAGGTAATTCTAATTATTAAAAATATATTTTTTTCGTCTTAATAAACAGGATTAACTCTTATATAAATGCATATGCATTCAAACAGCTGTTAACGATATATGCAATTAACGAATGAATACACTACAAAAAATAAAAACAAGAAAAAAAGAGAAATAACGGAATGTAATGAATGCAATTTGTGTTTGCAATTAAAAAAGAAAAATTTTATCTACGAAAACGTATGAAAATTTATAATTTTGTCACAGTATAAAGAATGTTTATTTTTATTCTATATAAAATACCGGAAGTTCTATTGAAAGGAGTTAGATTTAAGTAAGAGGGAGACAGAGCATATTGAGTAGATTTGTGTTCATTACTAGTAAATATGCTTCAGTAAGTGCATTAATAATATTAAGCTATTGTTAATAATTATTAACCTTAATTGCACTAAGGAGCAAAATCTCAGTGAGAGAACCATTACGCATAAGCAATTAAAATATATATTTTACGAATGTATTATGTATTATGTATTAAAAGGAAAACAAAATTGCAACAAGAAAGAAAAAAATATCCAAGGAGTAACAAATTAACTCCTTGAAGCGTATTAAAACAAATTAATAATTTGTTTATATACGATTAAAAAAAGTATAAAGCATAATAATTTATAAATTAGTTTTACTATACCAGATTAACTGGCACGTCTACCGTCACAAACAGTTAGTATAATGGAAAAGTTCAACAAGTATTTATGGTAATACGAATTCTGATTCGACTTCTCTTTTTTAAATACTGTGGATTCTTCTAAAAGTCTTCGACAGTATATACTTTCTTATATAAAAGAAAGAAAAAATATATATATATATTCAACTTTTTTAATTAACAAAACCATGCCTTCCAATAAAAAAATTTATATATTATGAAAATATACATTAAATTTAACTACAATGAAATGTTTTAATTTAAGTCATTTTTCATAACTCAAAAGAGTTTGCAAATTTATTTAGAGGTCAGTTTTTCGAATTTCGAATTGGTATTTTCGAAAAGCGATTTTCAAAAATCTTTAAACACCAGTATTAGATTTGCATATTGTATAAAAAGAAATTGGTAGAAAACATATACAATAAAAAGTTGTATTTAATCTGACTTTATTCGTCTCACTTTTTCTCACTCCGCAGCTCTGCTAACTCTCTTTTACTTCATTCTAATTCTACACTATTTTATAATCATAAATGTTATAAATTATATGAAAGCACATAAATAAAATTAAATTTGTTTAAAAATAACTAATTTATTAGAAATTTAGAGAAAAGAAAATTATGTAAACAGTAATGAATATTTTATATTAAAATTAATTTATCTATTTTCCTACGATTTTAGTAATTAAATTTAAAATTTAACTCTTAATGTTTTTCCATTTAAGAAAAAAAAAACAAAAAAATTATTAATGTATTAAAAACATACAATTAAATTGCCTTTAATAAATCACTTTAAAAAAATTTAAAATTATTAAGCAAAAATTTCTTGAATATAAACTGTATAAATATATATATAATTATATATAAATATAATATATATATATATATATGTATGAATATATATTGTATATATATATATATGTATAAATATGTATAAATGTTATATATAAATATATATTTATATATATATTATAAAAAAATGAAAATGTAATTTATTCCATTGGTGGTCTATTGAAACAATGAAAAATGTTAAAAATTTTAATATAATTATGTATGTATTTTGTTATGTATACATTTATATATTTATATATATATATATATATTTGCATGAAATTATATAAAATGTTTATGTTAAAAGTCTAATTGCGTATTCACTTTTCTGTTCCTTCCATATTTTTTCCATTTTATTTTGCTATAATGTAATTGTAAAATTAATTTTTTTTACGAATTTTTGAATTTAAAATTTTATCCATATATCATTTTTAATTTAATTTATCAAATTATATATTAAATATAAACATAAGTTTAATTGTACTTTAAATATAAAATATAAAAAAAAACATTTCTAACATTTTTCCTAATAGTTTATGCATTAATTGTAAATATTTAATTAAAGAAACCATAGTTAGAATTATTTAGCACTTAATCTAAATAATATTAATTATCCTAAATTAAAGTATAAATTTCTAATTCAAAAAATAAGAAAAAAATACATAAAATTTTCCTTTGCGAAAAACCGAATTTATATGCCTACTTATTTTCTTTTGACTTTGATTTTGATTTTAATTTTATTTTTTATTTTAATTTTTATTTTAATTTTATTTTTTTTCACTTATTTTCTGAACAGGTGTTTTATTTCCACACTTTAAAATGTTTGTTTTATAATTTCTTTGAAAAACAAAATTGAACTTCTTCATGACAAGTGATATACTTCAAATACTCTTCGGTTTTAAATGATAATGAATTAAAGTGTTTTAAACTATAAGTTTATAATCACTTGTTAGAATCCTGTAACACCCTGTAACAGATATTGGAATTTTTTGTTATTGAACTTTTGGTTTGCCCAGTTCACGCTATGCCTTTGATATTTTGGTATCAATAAAAATTGTTTTAAACAAAAAAATCCCGTACCCTAGACAATCATAATATATTACTATATTAAAAAATTTTAAACAATATCAAAAACAAATCTCTCCAGCGATTTAAGAGAATTAGACGAATATTTTTGCACTTTAGGTCTGGGAGATCCTTTTTATTAAAACTTTTTTATATACACCAAAAAAAATGGGGTTTTTTTATGTAGTGGTGCGTGGGAATCTATAAAACAGATAATATGAAAGGAATTTCAAAACGAATAGGATGTAGGTTTAGTGGTTGTGTGAGAGCGATGGGGACTATAAGGAAGTGGGATGGATTGAAGATAGGTGGTATTTCATTTGACCTATTTGCTAAATGGTTAGCCCCGAGTCAAAGTCTGGAAGTTTGAAATAAAAGAGGAAATTTTTATATTTGTAAGAACGAATTCTATTTAATAAACATTAAGAGCTAATGGTCATGTTATGTTATGCAGACACTCATGGTTACATCAAATATGAAATTGTGGTTTTCAGTGTAAATAATTGATTTGACAAAAAGAACAAGAGAGACAATTCGTTAAAACTTACTTTGGATACTTTGGTATTATGTTCTTTATCATGTTAGTTGAAATAGTGATGAATTTAAATTTGGAAGGTTTTGTGGGTGGTATATGGAGTATGGATATATAATAAAGGCTTACCAAAATGCATTCATTATATGAAATGTTTAATTTGTGGAATTGAACTGAACTTTGGGCCGTGACTGATTGGACGGTGGATTCATTTACATATGGGACTGTTTCCGTACAAAACAGAATAGTTCCATATTGATTTATGTCATAAAGGGATTAATGAAATTTAATTTTAATTATTGGTTTTAAATATGGTTTTGGAGGTAAAAACATAGTGGTTATGTAAAGACACTTTATTAGGAAAACTTTGGGGACTGCTTTTGCAATAACAACTCGTAGGAAAACTTGTTACCTTAGCTTTCAGAATATGTACTAAAGCTCAATGAATACATATATTTGGGAAAATACATATACACATACATATACACATACATATACACATACATATACACATACATATACACATACATGGGCACACTCTTTGCTTCATATATTAACCCTTATAGCTTTAAAGTTATACTCCATTTTTTCTTAGTTAAAGTGCGTCAAAAAATATTTATTACATCATTTATATATCAGTTACATAAAAAGGTTTAGTTTGCACAGCTACCACTCCAATATAACCTAATGCCACTTTATTGCTAAATTGACACTAAATTGATCCTAAAACCTATAATTACAAAAAATTTTCTACGTTATTAAATATATGTTAAATAAAGTCATAATAGTTTATATAAATTTAGTTTACAATACCTAATAATACCTTTCAATACCTAATTATTTAAAGATATTTGCTTGCGTTTGTACCAATTATTAATGGTAATTAATGTATATATAACAATGCTGTATTTTACTTTTTCAATTTGTTCATTATGTTTTTGATATTTTAATTTTTAATTGAAATTATCAAGAAGTGCACTAATAAAATTAATATGAACTTTATTTAAAAAAAATTAACATAAATTTAATAATATAAATTTAGTTAATGAAAACATTTGTATGTAATAATACAAATGTATTATTACATAAAATGAATAATATTTAGTTGAACCATTCAAAACAATTATAGGTTTTGATTGATCCATAACAATACCATATTCGTGCCCTTAGAGGCAATTAACGATGATACACATTACTTAAAAGGTATGTGTCATTAGCAAATTTTAAGAGACAGTTCACACCAATGTCAGTGATGAAGTTAAGCCCCTCAAAACTAAACAACAATTATTAGTAAAATTGATTTTTTTGGACTAATCATACAGTTAATACGGATATTGTCGAATATTATTGTTGTTATGGGCATACTTCGTTTGGAGGATAGACTATATAATATTCTAAAGAATTAACAAATTTTTGAGTTCTTTAAACCGCTCCAATGGTCAAGAGATTTTCGTTTTTTTTTATTATCTAATATATTATATTATAATGGTATATTATAGTATAGTATATTATAGTCGGCAAAGCTGTCGAGTCTACTATCCAAAAGCTACAAATTGCTCAAA